TTGTGTCTTTCCATGAAAGTAATCAGCTCTCAGTAGACCGATTTTGTTAACCTATGCGTCAAAATAACCCGATTATAATTTGATTGAACGTTTAAACGCCAAAAATCAAACAAGAAATACTATTTCGTACGTGACAGCTTGACTGTAAGACGGTTAGCTGTGCACCGCACTAGAATGTCGTTTTACCTTAAGCCTGTTTAGATCGCTATTATTGGAGTGGTAGAGGGTCATCTGGGTTATACTAAATGTATTAGAAGTTCTTCAAAGAGTATCATAAATATAAGGGATAACGAGGGGCCCTTAAATACTAATGGTTGGCCAAGCGGCATAAAACAGTTAAACTCAATTAAACAAATAATAAATAGCATTAAAAAATAACATAAAACTCAGCTGAATAGATGAACTTGTTGATAGTTATGAGTGGACTGTATGACGTCTTGTGGTAATGGTGTTGAACATCTGAGTATTAAGAGTCAGAGTGTAGATCCAGACACGTCATGGCAGAGGAAAACAGACGGCGGAAAAGCGACTACGACAATGAAGTTATTTTTTAATGATCAGGGCCCAATCACTGGAGATGTGCAAGTACACGTTAACTTTGAGCACAAGGGTGCAATAAACAAATAAAAGAATAACGGCGTACAATGGCCGAATGGTTTACCATTCAAGCGAAGGCGCTTGCTACAAAAAAAGGTGACACATAAAACATACAACTTACTGATTTAAGACGATGAAATGTACACGGATGACAATTGACACGGAGGTCATCGATTTGCCATGCTGGGTGGGCAAGGGGATGAGGAAAGCAAAGACTCTAGATATCAGCTGTCACACGATATAACATAATAATCAACGGTGTTTGTGATAACTGGTCCACTAGGTCTCTGGTAAAGGCGTTCGCTACTAAATAAATACCCTTAATTTTAGAGAATTAAACAAATATCTAAAAAGAAACACATAAATTTAAGACTTCTATAGAATAATTTTAAAGATCTTTTTGATTAAAATTTTTTTTTTTTAAATAACTATTCAAATTTAAACCACTCATGAAGAAACATGAAAGATATTAGTTGATTGAATTTTTTAGGAGTTAAAAAAAATTATTTTTTCCATTTTATCAAGACTAATCACTATAGAACAGTTTAAGTATGTATTATGTAAATATAACTTACATAATTAGGTAATGAGAAGGATTAATCTGATTGTTTTACTATATTTCATCTTATTATTTTAATTTAACTGATCATTTTCTTTTTTTCCAATAAAGGCCAAACATTTTTTTATGAAACTTAAATAATATAAAAATTATGCAAAACAATAATATATTAATACTTGAATTAGTTTATTAGAATTTAAGTACAAGTAACATAAATCATAATTAAATAACATCTTACATTTTAAATTAATTTTATTATCAAAAAAAATCTTAACAATATATTGTATAAAAAAAGAAAATATGTGAAAAGATTAGTATGGATAATAATATTAAATTTGTAATTAAAAAGTACCTCCCAATAACCTCCAACATCGCTGTTAGCATTTGGTTAATGATTCTGGTTTTGAAAACATAGTAAGTACAAATCAAGGGATGATCCGTTTGTGTTCGATTGTCTGTCCGTATTAGACAACACGGTATCCTCAGCTCATCTTGATCATCCTTCGATTATCCTCCTACTATGCTCCAGAGCGATTGACTTTTTAATTATGATTTAATATTAATATTAAGTCATAAATAATTAATTATCCATGCTTTTCTTTTACGATTCATTTTTATTTAATTAATCCCATTCATCTAGAGAAAAATATTCTGATGAAGAATCAGAGCTAGAACTGCTCGACATACTTGCCCGACGAAACATGGCATTATTTAATGGGTTAATTCTTTGGCTATCTTCTTCATCTATCTTTAGTTTTTTTATAACTTTAACCGCAGGATTCACCGACTATAAAGTATTAAAAACCTTACTAAGGTTGAATATATTTTTAAATATTTATATTTTAATTATAATTAAAATAAATGAAATTATCTCATCTAACTTGATTTTCAGTTCAAAATGTTTTATTTTAATTAAGTGTTCAAAATGCGATTCATTAATATATGATGCACTTCATAAGTATGATAAGAAAAAATTGAAATATAATCATTAAAATACTATATTGATTTTAAACAATTATTTTGCTTATATTTTGCTATAATATAGAATTTTAACGATACTCTATGATTAATTGTGAAAAGAGTTTACCTTCAATTTAATTCCCCGTTTGATTTCATCCAATAATTTCATTGGTAGAAATGGTCCATCAACCTTATCTTTGTTCTTAGTATTGTTATTGGCTTTTAGAAGCGTTGGTAGTGTTTGGGGAAGTGGCGGAGCTGAAGGAATACAATCTGAAAAATTTTCATGTTTAGATATCATAAATTGTGATTTTTTTATGTTTATATACAAGAATTATCCAATGAGTTTACTCTTTTCATATCTTTTTCTTCTATTTTTGGTTTTTCTATAACCAATAACTTCACCGGCTATATAAAATTAAAAAATCAAACACATATACTAATGTTTTAATATTTTTAAATATTTCGATTTAAATATAATTATTTTAAATAATTTTATTTTACTTGATTTGCAATTGAAAATGTTTTAGGAATTGTTAAAAATGTGATCCATTAATATATGATCCACTTTTTAAGCACAAAAAAAACATTTTAAAACGTTAAAAAAATGAACTATAATCACTATATAGAGAAAAATCGACTTTTAAGAAATTTTATTGCTTACATTAAGCGATAATATAGAATTTGCACCATATTCAATTATTAATTGTTAAACATTTTACCTTCAATTTTACACCACGTTTTAATTCCTCGATAAGAATCATTGGTAGAGCTGCTGGTCTATCACTCTTACCTTTGCTTTTAATATTATTTTCTGCTTTTTGTAGCGTTGGTAGAGTTTTGGAAAGTGGAGCAGCTGGAGGAATGATATCTGGAAAATATTCATATTTAGATAACATAAACAGTGACTTTTTATGTATATATACAAGTACTATCAAAAGGGTTCATTCTTCGAAGATTTTTGTCATCTATATTTGGTTTTTCTAATACTTTAACCACTGGACTTACCGGCTATATAAAATTAAAAAACCAAACACATATACTAATGTTATATATATATTTAAAAACATTAAAAAAATTAACTGTTATAATTAATATACTCATTTAATATATTGAGGAAATTGTTTGGCTTACATAAAGCTATAATATATAATTTGCACTATACTCAATTATTAATTATTAAACATTTTACTTTCAATTTCACGCCGCGTTTAATTTCTTCTATAAGATTTTTTGGTAGATTTGCTGGTCTATCAACCTTACCTTTGCTTTTAATATTATTTTCTGCTTTTTGTAGCGTTGGTAGAGTTTGGGGAAGTGGTGGAGCAGAAGGAATAAAATCTATAAAATTTACATATTTGTATTGTACTTAAATTTATAAATGTACTATAATTTTTTTGCTGTTTTTTTTTATTAAATTAAAATATATAGAGTCACCATTATTTTGCCTTAAGTCCTTCGACTCAGTTAGTTTTTTGTTAATTTTTATTTCCTCCTCCTTGTGTTTTTCTTGACCATTAATATTTTTTATTAAGTAATCGGAAGATTCCATTAAATATTTCTGAAGAATATCCAAAACGATTTCGGACATTAAATCTTCAATCTGATCTATTAAATTAAATTTTGGTAAAATTATGGATACTTTAAGAAAAATAATATGTTGTGTAGTCGGAGTATACTTCGTTATTTTTTAAACTAAATCATATATTTTTATAGAATAATAATTTAAAATATGAATATCTACTTCGAATAATAATTTCTAATTTTGGGTCATTTAAAATTTCGCGTTTTATTGACTCCTTTAAATCGGTTATTTTGTCAGCCATAGTATCTTGTCCATTCTCGCGTTTTACTGGTACGCTACCATTTTTTAAAATACATTGTCTTGAAGGGATAAATTCTGACGTTAAGTCTTGAATTTTATCTATAAAATGAGTTATAATTATAAACTATAGACTTTTTGAAAGGGGTTCTCTGTAATTATATTTGTGAATAAATTTTTGTTGTTGAAAATTAAGCTTTTTAGATAGTGTGTGAATTGTGTAAGTAAATTAAATAAAATAATGTGCTTATTTTAGCTGTTTAGCTAAACAATTTAGGTACAAGTAAATCTATCTACTTTTAAATATTACATTTACATAATCAATATGTATATTAACCCTTAAAGAAAATCCAGACCCAAGTGTACATGTTAATCGTACCTAACATGTAAACGTTTATACAGTTTATTATTAACTGAATATTATTAATATACTAAATAGGATAATTTTGCTATCATAACTTATTTACACAATAATAATTTGAATATTTTTATTTTTGTTAACCTTAGTCACATATTTTTTTTGAATATATTAACTATTTAATAAAATTGAAGTGTATCTTTTATTTATTGTAAGGATCTTAACTTTGTTTTTTTCAAAAGTGAACATATTATTTGATTATAATAAAATGTTTGAAATTGTGTTTTAATAGTGAATGCTGTTACGTTTTTAAAGTGGACTGTAGAAAACCGTTCGAAATTACTTTTAATTATCTAATTAATAAAAAACGATATAAACTTAAACCTTTAACTTAGTTTATTACTTTACTTTATATACACATGTTTGGCGTGCACGTCGTGCCGTCCTTTTCGTTGACGAGACATCGTTCGACTATTTATTACAAAAATGAAAAAACCGGTACGCACCGGATAAACGCGCTTATCACGATACTACATTCAAATAAAAAAAAGACAAACTATGGATCGAACACGCCGGCCGCCTTGAAATAACAAATTTCAAAATACAGTGTAAGATAAATTTTAACAACCCTAAACATAACTATTTTTGATAAAGATAAAAATAATTTAAAGTAATAGTAATATTTTAACTACAAATATAATCATTTTGTGTAAAAAAAAAAAAATAATAATAATAATAAAAAATTAATTAATTAAACAATATTACTAAATCATCGACAGTAAAAATTTTCAGAATAAATTGACAACAAACAGATAATAACAACATATTTTTACAAATTTGGACTAACTACTGGGATGAAAACTTCTGGAGATGAGTTATTACCCTCAAACGGTAAAAGGCACAATTGGCGGACAGCTCGCTCATATTCTCCATTAACAGCTCGAACAAAGGCCGACCTCACCACTCCATCCCTTCCTTCTCGAACGGACACGATACGCCCAATACTCCATTTCAGAGGGGGCAAGTTGTCGTCACGCAACAAGACAACCGTTCCAACATTTAAGCGAGGCCCTTTCTCTTTGGCCCATTTTACCCTCTCTTGCAAATGCCCAAGATACTCTTTGCTCCGACGTTTCCATAAATTCAACGATAATTGAGTGACGCGCTGCCATCTATCCAACCGATTTAATTGCTTAGTGTTGGACTCTGGTTCTGGTACTGCCATAAGGGAGTCGCCAATTAAAAAATGACCAGGAGAAAGATAAGATAAATCAAAAGGTTCGTTGGATAAAGGAGTTATAGGTCGTGAGTTAAGACAAGCCTCAGCGCGCGTTAGTACTGTTGTTAATTCCTCATAAGTTAAATATGACTCACCCATTACCTTATATAATAAATTTTTCATCGAGCGAACGGCACGCTCCCACAACCCGCCAAAATGAGGGGAGCGAGCTGGTATGAAGCGCCATTGAACGCCATGCTTAGACAACTCCGTATTTATGGCGTCTTGGTGCTCTTTTGAATAAAATAGATCGTAAACTTCTTTCAAATGACGCTGAGCTCCAACGAAATTTGTCGCATTATCTGAGTAAATAGTATGGCTTTTGCCTCGACGATCAAAAAAACGATTTAATGCATTAAGAAATGCCTTTGTACTTAAATTGCTGACAAGCTCTATGTGAACTGCCCTTGTGACAAAACACACAAAAATAACTATGTAACCTTTTACATGTTNCACACAAAAATAGCTATGTAACCTTTTACATGTTGAGATCTTCGCAATAAACTAGTACGAATCATTATAGGACCTGCAAGATCTACACCACACTTATAGAACGCGCGAGGGACTGGTTCTACGCGGTCTGTTGGTAAATCGCCCATAATGGGCTGAACTACAACTGGCTTTAAACGAAAGCATATTACACATATTCTAAAAACATCTCGTGCAATACTACGTCCTCCTATAGGCCAGTATTTTAGACGAATCGACGCTAGCATAGCTTGAGGGCCGCTGTGTAAAAGACTGACGTGTTCGTGTTGAAACAATAACCTTGTAAATGTGCTTTTATGTGGTAAAATAATCGGATGCCGTTGATAAATATCGATGGAAACAGCATTTTTTTAACGGCCTCCTACGCGTAAAACACCATTTTCATTCATGTAAGGTCTAAGACGAAATAATGGACTTTTAGAAGAAACAAAAGGCGTAGGGTGATTTAAATTTTTTATTTCAGAAGAAAAGTAATCATTTTGTACATGCTTTATCAGTCCTAGGTTCGCTTGACTTAATTCACTGACCTCTAAAGACGCTATTTTTCGATCCGATTTACGTCCGGCATTATAAATAAAACGATAGCAATACGCGGTAACACGCAATATTTTCTGATAATTTGAGCACCTATTTAATAAGGAAAAATTTTCTCGTGTTGTATTCGCGACTAAGTTAATAGAATTATACTTTTCAGTACACTTGACTTCAGGTAAATTTAAATTACTTATTGCCTCGGCCGTGGTTTGCCATTCCTTACAATCCTTTTGTAACCACTGTGGCCCTGACCACCATAAGGACGACTTAGACAATTCTTTGGGATAAGAACCACGAGATATTACATCCGCAGGATTATCTTGCGATTTCACGTGCGCCCACTCGGCTCTTGAAGTTATTTCCTGTATTTCGCCCACCCTATGAGCGACAAAAGTTTTCCATTTGGCGGAAGATGATGAAATCCAGGCGAGAACAATATTTGAGTCAGTATACAAAAATCGTTTACAATTAGCTATTTGTAAATTTTTAACCACCTTTTGCGCCAATCGCGCAAGTAAAAGTGCCGCACATAATTCGAGACGTGGTAAAGACACTGTTTTTATAGGAGCTACTTTGGATTTCGCGCAAATAAGACGGACAGTATGTTGACCGTGTTCATTCGTGGTGCGTAAATATAACGCCGCTCCATACGCACGAATGGAACTGTCCGAAAAACCATGTACCTGATACTCGACAATTTTTTGCTCGCCAATGATTTTACGCGGAATAATAATTTTATTAATATAACCAAGTTTTTTCACATACGCTTCCCAATCATTTTTTATATTTACAGGAACGGGTTCGTCCCACTCTAATTGTTGTTGCCATAAATTTTGCATTATAAATTTGCCCTGTACTATTATCGGACCAAGTAAACCAAGCGGATCGTAAATTGAGGCAATATGCGATAAAATTGAATGTTTCGTTATTGACCCAGATATAGAAATATTTTTAACAATATACTGTAAAGTATCAGAATACGCATTCCATACAAGCTCTAGTACCTTTGTTATCGGTCCGTCGTTATTAGCAATTATATGACTATTATCGTTGTTTACCTGTAGTTGGCTGATTAAATTAGGCTCATTCGACGACCACTTACGTAATTCAAAACCAGCTTTGTTTAACACCGTACACATTTCTTCTTTTAAACGAGCGGCATTTTCAAACGTATCACTTCCGCCTAAAAAATCGTCAACATAAAAATTGTTTAATATAGCCTCAGATGCTGCTGGGTATTTATCCACATTATCTTCAGCTAATTTGTTTAGGCAAGCCGTGGATAAAAATGAAGCTGGCCNAATTTGTTTAGGCAAGCCGTGGACAAAAATGAAGCTGGCACTGTGCCATACGTCACCGTTTTTAAACGATAAGTCCGAATTGGCTGATCAGGCTCAGGACGCCATAAAATACGTTGGAAATCTTGATGTTCATGCGTTACCCATACTTGTCTATACATTTTTGCTATATCTCCTGTTAAGACAACTTTATACTTACGAAATCTAGCAAGTATGTATAATAAATCATCCTGTACAACAGGTCCTTTCAGTAAAACTTCATTAAGCGAGAGACCAGACTGAGTCTTACACGATGCGTCAAAGACGACACGTAACTTAGTAGTAGAACTATTGGGATTACGCACAGCGTGATGTGGAATATAATAACTTTTACTAGCTGAAATAAAATTAACATTTGTAACTAGTTCCATATGACCCAATAACTCGTATTCCTTTAAAAATTGCACACAATCGGTTTTTAAAATAGAATCGTTTTGTAATCGTTTTTCTAACGATAGAAAACGCCGCAATGCTATATCATAAGATGGGCCCAACTTCAATACACTATCTTTAAACGGTAATTTAACTATAAGACGACCGTCGTCGCCGCGACGTACAGTGCGATCAAATAATACTTTGCATTGCTTTTCTTCTAACGCGTGTGTAATTCTATTATCGAATTCTTCTACTCGCCAGAATCGCGTAAGTAAATCGTCTAGAGGCTCGACTTCACAATTTGTACAATTTACTACAAATGAATGCGATTGCTGTAACACTGGTCCAGATATTACCCAACCGAATCGCGTTTTTTGGAATATAGGTCCCGAACTGTTTGGTTTTATCTTTTCTGCACATAATATGTCGTAAAAATGCTGAGCGCCTATTAGCATATCTATTTTTGCGGGAACATAAACGATGGATCAGCAAGTGTCAGATCATCAGGTGGTTGTACACAGCTATTCTTAATAAATGAAGACGGAATATTTTTTGATATATTTTTTACAATTAAATAAGAGGTAATCAATTGAAATGATTCGCAACGTGAACTGACCGTAGCAGTGGTGCTATGCCTAATATGCTGTTCAGTGCCTCCAATGCCATTAATATGATGATGTACATTACACCTTTTTAATTTTAGTAGTTGCACCATTTTTTCATTGAACGCATCGGCGTGCATAACATTTTTTTGTTAGGGTGTAATAATAAACAAATTTTACATAAATTCAGATCAGATATCTTTTTAATTCTCTCTGAAATGGACAACGACAACAGTTTCGGACACCGATATATAGTGTGTTGCTCGTTACAACAATAACAATTTAAAGTAGACGCCGACGTTACTAAGGTAGATTTTTGATAATTTCTTTTTGCAATGAAATGAGGTTGTACAGATTTAGTTCTATTATGTATGCTACGAGCGCTTTCGACAGCNTTTTTGCAATGAAATGAGGTTGTACAGATTTAGTTCTATTATGTATGCTACGAGCACTTTCGACAGCCTCTAAAACCTTATATCGCCTCTCAACAAAATCAATTAAATGTGACACTTCCGCTGTTTCTTCACTATGTGAAATAGACTCCCATTCCTGCAATGTGTTCTTGTCGAGTTTCGAACAAATTAAATGAATGAAAAGAGGGCCCCACCGTTCAGGCTCTTGGCCAAGCGACTCCAAAGCTCGCATGTGCCCCAACACTTCATCCGCTAAACTTTTCAATCTAACTGCTGATTCGCTGGTCAAAGACTCCAACTCAAATAAAGCTTTTACATGCTTAGAAACCATTATTCTTTTGTTACTATATCGTTTAACCAAAATATTCCACGCTGTCTGGTAGTTATTTGCAGTTGTTTCTAAGCAATGGATGCTTAACAACGCTTCCCCAGCTAATACAGAACGTAAATAAAAAAACTTCTGTATCTCTGCTAAATCATTATTATTATGTATTAGAGATAAAAATAAATCGAAAAATACTGGCCATTGCTTATGATCACCCGTAAATGTAGGAATAGTTATCTGAGGTAAATTTATTCTTGGGTGTGGTGTACAATTGCTTATTAAATTAGGCCTTGACATCGGCAACGTATCACTATATTTTCGTATAGGCGACTCTATCGGATGTTCCAAAAGTTTAACCGCTTTGGATTGAGCCTCAAAATATAAATCCTCAAATTCCTCTCTATATTTATTTTGTTCTTCTTCATCTACATTTTCTTCTATATCAATTTCCGATTGTACCTGTTGATACTCACTCCATATTTCTTCCAGCTTCTCTCTACGCAACCTAATATTTATTAAATCTGGATTTTCAGTATTTACAATGCTTAAAAATCTTGTTATTGAACCTTTAAGTTGTCCCCTACGCTTATTTAGATTTATAATATCACTCATTTCGACAGCTATGGGAGAATACCGTTTCGATGAAAATAAAAAAAAAAAAAAAAACTTTTCAATAACTTATCGCGTTACACTTATACTATACTATATAGCTCGTAAATTATAATCAGACGCTTATTAGGTAAGCTTATCTTTAGGAATTTTCTACTATACTAACGCACGCACTTGCTATAATATTCTTTACTTTTTTTTTTTTTTTTTTTACTTGGATAAAACCACATATACGATATACTAGAATAAATACGGACAGGAAAAATTAGGAAGGCGACTCTTACCTTGGTTTTCCAAATTTTCTATTAATTCTTTCAACGCTGGACTTTTTCTCGAGAGGTAATCCAATTGGAATGACAATGGCACTGATATTAATACTTTTCGTGTGAAAAAACACACATGTACGTTGGTCCCAATGACCTTCAAGTACACTTTATGGTGAACTTAAGTGCTTCACTGATTTGTGTAAGCAAAACGAAAAATTAAACGAAAATCAACTATTTTTAAATCGCACAGTTACTATATGTGCAATACACTAAGTTGTGTAGCACAGCACAGAGGCAAATCAATTGTATTTTGATTTACGAATAAACTGTACCTCGATAAAGATTCTATTAATCTTTATCAATCGACACTTATAAACTAAAAAGATCTCACGACGCTGGTATACAATCGCGGACGAAGGACCATGTTACGTTTTTAAAGTGGACTGTAGAAAACCGTTCGAAATTACTTTTAATTATCTAATTAATAAAAAACGATAAAAACTTAAACCTTTAACTTAGTTTATTACTTTACTTTATATACACATGTTTGGCGTGTACGTCGTGCCGTCCTTTTCGTTGACGAGACATCGTTCGACTATTTATTACAAAAATGAAATCCGGTGCGCACCGGATAAACGCGCTTATCACGATACTACATTCAAATAAAAAAAAGACAAACTATAGATCGAACAAATGCATTTGAAATTTTAACGTATTATAGAGTAATGTTTTGGCCCGCCAAATTAGATCACCAATTTTATATTATCCGGGCATTTCAAATGGATTAACTAAAATATTTAAGAATTTTGGTATTACTTTGGTAACATCTAAGAGTAATAATTTAAGAGATTTATTAGGTAACCCTAAAGATAAGGTAGATGAAGGGGGGAAATCAGGCATTTATAAAATACAATGTGAAAGTTGTAATAAATGTTACGTAGGACAAACAAAAAGAAATATAGGGGTCAGGTTTAAAGAGCACTTAAGAAATATTAAAAATCAAGAAGTTGAGAAATCTCCAGTGGCTGAACATTTATTGACACATAATCACTCTATTAAAACCATAAAACTAATTAAAAACGTAAATAATTACAAAGAACTTAATATCAGAGAAGCAATAGAAATGTTTAAAAATAAAAACAATTTAATTAATTGGGATCTTGGCCCACTGAAAAATTCATTATTAAACTTGTGTAAACTGGCAAAAATGTGATAATATTACTTAGTGATGACGTCACTAGGTGATAAGGTCACTAGGGGTATATAAGGGAGTTTTTTCTAGTCGGGGTGTCAGTATGTGTTTAGCGTTGATAATGGTAACATTGTTTCCGAAATACGTATCCGCGACTTTTCATTGATTTTTGTGGCTTTGAGTTTAATATTTTTTAAATTAATAATATTTTTAATATAGTTTTAATTTTACTTAATATGATGATTAACTGAAAAATAAGTAATTATAATTTTTCATAACTACAAACCATCTTTCCTTTCATCGATGTTCCTCTTGGATTGCACTACCGGATATGTTTTTTTCAGTAAAACTGAGTCTCCACTCGCAGTAATATTGTCAACATTTTTTTCAGATTTTCTGGCACATAACTTCCTAACAAATTTTATAACTCTTCTAAATACGCCTTTTTTGGGCGTCATATTATATTTTATAGAAATACAAACACTATTAACACTTTAAATTTTTCTAAAGCAAAATAATTAAATATTGAATATTTAGACTTAAATTTTCATAAAAAATAAACTATTATTGTGTCATAGTAATTGAAAATAATAATAACTATTTTTTATAAGACAATTACTATATCCTTTAATTTATGCTATGAAATAATTTAAAAGTTGACATTTTCTTTAGCCTATATCTTTCTTTAATTTTAAAAAATTGGCGGATTATTTCAAAAGCTACATGATCTCCTATTTTCTTATTTGTATTCTGTATTCAAGTTTTATGATTTACATACATTATACAATTATTACAATAGAAAGTCATTTCCCTACTTACTGATCACCTTATGTAATAAAGTTAAATTATTGTATTATATTTTAAATACTAAGTAAATTCATGTTAAATGTACAATCTCTATGTGCATACGTCGACTTTAACGTCTATGCCAATACAATTATTGATGAATATACAATATAACAATAAGATATACGAAGTCTAAATAAAAATCTTGAAAACGCTTAGACGTAGCCACAACTTAGTAGTTGCGATCAATGTTTTTGACTTCGCATAGTTTTCATTATCTCGCTGAGGTCACAAACGCGAAGTCTAATTATATTATAAAAATTGAATTTAAAAAAATTCCCGCATGAAGTCACTATGAATTGCAGAGAGGGTCACATATGATATCTAAATATTGTCCTTATCAAAGCTAAACGTCGTCACGTGTAGATATGACTGACACCAAACTCCCATTGACATGTTACTATACACTTTAACGCGCGTCTCAAGCAAGAACTTTATAAGCCATCACTTATTCTCTGCACGCTTATGTGTAAACATCTTTTTTTAAAGATTGAAGTTAAATTATGGATAAGTCAATTGTTAATCAGGTAAATAGTAAAAATTACTCTTAATTCTTATTAAACTTTATTCTTCTATTCATCCTAGTTAATGTATCTTTCTCAAATTTAGAAGTACTGCACTTGAGATGTATATGAAGTCTATTAGCATACAAAGCATACATCAAGTGTAGGGGTAATTACGCGACTTTAGAAACTTCTGAACAAATATTGTTCAATTTGCCCTAATTTAATGTAAATACTCCAGGACCTCATAAGTTACTACACACATGATTGGGTTAAAGTTTGCTTATTTAATGGACTTATTTAGAAAAAATATCATTTATATTATACAAATATAAAGTAGCTAGTGTCAAACGAATGATCTTGTATTTAAACCTGTTTACTATTTGTCAAATATTTTAGTGTTAACTAGTTTGTCTTTAAGTGTTCTTTATAATATGCATAAAGAGGCGTATCAACATTTTGTTACGTAGGACGATACATAAGACAATGTTTCGACCACTTCGATTAAGTTGACTAAATAATATCTTATCGAAAATAAATAATGTAATAGTTATTAAGGTATTATGGTGATAGTAAACAATATATTGTATAAAATCTATAAGGGGTATAAAATAATATAAAAATATGATTTAAATTAAAATCACTGTTTAAAAAATATTTGATAGTATTAAAAACATATAATAATAGAAGATAGTACACAACTTTTTAGTATTTAATTATTGAATATATCATAAATAATTCATGTTGTGTAATATATACTACTTATAGTTAAAAATTGTTCATAGAGAGAAGGTTTCAAATTGAATTGTTTACATATTTAATTATTTGATAAATAGTAATATTAATTGGGATTTTTAAAGTGGATAGGGTTAGACATACATAATATGATATGTAATGTTGGATACACATCGGTCGAATGTGCTGTCGAGAAATTGTGTTGTGATTACTTTTGCTATCGTTGTGCTACATCGAGTTGTTGTCGGTATTCTCTCTCTCTATGTCTTCATTTTTGTCGCCATCTTGGCGCATTTTAGCTATAAGCTCTATGGCGTTTGCAAGCCAGCAGTTTTGTATTAGTTCTGTTGTAAAATTAAAATATCACTTTTGCAATTGTCACAGCCTTGTGCGCTCAGTATATCGCCATTGGGTCTATGTGTTTGTCGAGATACATCACAGTACCGTTTACAACATATTGTACACGTTGACCGGTCACTTGCATTCGACTTTAATTGATCCTTTCAATATTCAACATTATCACCAGCCGTTTCAATTTGTCGATAAGTATAATTCTTGTTCATTTTTTTTTTAAGACTTACATTAATGATTTAATATTTGTTTATATCGGCACCACTGTGGCATTAGTATTAAGTGCCCCCCTCCTATCCACATTGGCGTGTATAAGATTTTATGATGCATGTATAATATATTTAACTGTTATATTTTTTGAAAATTCATTCTACATACATTCATACAGTCCACTCACCTTATTCCTTTTCCTCGACTAAGTAAAACAACGAACGTTAAAGAACTCGCACGAGTACCACCGAGTGCTGCGTTCATTAATTTACTATAATACATATCAAATAACGTAATATTATAATAACTATATATGTGTAACACATATATTATACATACAGCATAAATTATTATTATTAAACACCTATCGTATGTATTTTCTTTAAATAATGATTTTTCCATAAAAATGATATATATAATTTGATTTATTTTTATAAACCGTAGGTTTATTACGATCGAGTCATAAAATTGTTATCAATTTTATAATTTAAGTTCTTCTACAATCATATTTTTTTTGATCATTTGAATAATTTTTTTATAATAACGATTTCCACTTTTCTGTGCTCAAGATTAAAGCGCCCCCCGGAATTTCGGGATTCGACTTAAAGAGGACGTTAGATTGAAATCCAAATAAAAAGGAAGACTCGGTCCCTCTCCGCCACTCACACATTAAACGCTGTTTATTCCGTAATTTATACATTATATATTTATAATTTTACTAAAATTATTGATACACTCCACAGATTAATTATTTTCTTTTGTTATTAATACTTTCCATCATCATAAATTTAAAAAAATGTATTATTAAACTTAGAAACGAACTTCTCTAAGTGATATCACTACGACGTCTCCGATATGAATTTTCGCACACAGGTTACATCTGACCAGAATCCTAATACATTCGGTTAGTTTATATCAAAGTGAGATGGAGATGGTTGACTATATTGACAATTGGCGATAGACGAGTGGTCGTTTAAAATAAGTTATGTTATTGACAAAATTAATAATGGTAGTATTGAAATCTATATCTATAACGACCGTTAAAACAAAACTGCCCTTTTTAGTTTGACGTCAGTAGTTACGGGTTACATTATATTATATTATAATATAATAAAATTGGTAAGACCATAGTTATAATTTTTATCCAATTTTTTTTTTTTTTTTGCTGCAATTATTTTTATTCCTAGAAAAAATCTTAACAATATGTCGAATACAAAACGAAAAAATTCAAAAATATTAGTAAGGCTAATAATACTAAATGAGTAATTAAAAAGTTTCTCCCAACAACATCCAACATCGCTGTTAGAATTTAGTTAGTTAGTACAAAATGAAGGGTTAATCCGTTTGTATCCAGTTGTCTGTCCGTATTAAGCAAATCGGTGTCCTCAGCTCATCTTGGTCACCTTTCGATTACACTCCTACTATACTCCAGAGTGGTTGACTTTTTATTACAACTTGACATTATTTATTCAGGCTTTTCTTTTCGATTAATTTTCATTTAGTTAATCCCATTCATCTAGAGAAAAGTATTCTGACGAAGAATCGGAGCTAAAATTGCTTGACATCATATTTGCCCGACGAAACATGGCAATATCTAATGGGTTCATTCTTTGCCTATCTTGTTCATCTATCTTTGTTTTTTTTATAACTTTAACCACTGGCTTCACCGGCTATAAAATATTAAAAATAACTTATTAAGGTTGAATATATATTTTTAAGTATTTTATTTTGACTACTTGAGTCAAGCAACAGATTGTGTAATCACCACCTAGGGTTTAATAAATTCAAATGAAATTGTTTCATCTAACTTGATTTGTAATTCAAAATTCTTTATTTTTATGAAGTGTTCAAAATTCCATCTATTTTCTATAACTCTAACCAATAACTTCACTAGCTATATAAAATTAAAAAATCAAACACATATACTAATGTTTTAATATTTTTAAATATTTCGATTTAAATATAATTATCTCAAATTATCTTAACTAATTTGATTTGAAATTGAAAATGTTTTAGGAATCGTTAAAAATGTGATCCATTAATATATGATCCATTTCATTAGTACAAAAAAAGAAGCATTTAAAAAATTTAACTATAATCACTATTTTGGGAAAACACGACTTATAGGAATTTTTTTGCTTACATTAAACTATAATAAGGAATTTGCATCAAACTCAATAATTAATTGTGAAACATTTTACCTTCAATTTTACACCACGTTTTATATCATCCATAAGGTTTATTGGTAGACCTGCTGATCTATCAATTTTACCTTTGTATTTAACATTATTATCCGCTTTTAGAAGCGTTGGTAAATTTTAGAAAAGTGGCGGTGCTAAAGGAATAAAATATATAAAATTTTCATGTTTAGAAAACATACAAGATTACTTATTATAATAAATTTAATACACTACTTAAATTTATAAATATATACAAGCATTTTCTTATTGTTTTTTTTATAAAATTAAAAAATATAGATTTACCATTAATTTGCCGCAAGTCCTTCGGCTCGGTTAGTTGTTTGTTCATATTTATTTCCTCTTCTTTACGTTTTTCTGGACTACTACTATTTTTTATCATGTAATTGAAAGATTCTCAAAAAACAATTTTGAACAAATCCCTGGATGAATTCGGGTATTAAATCTTGAATCTTATCTATTAAATAAAATTTTGGTATACATTATGGATACTTTAAGACAATTAATAAGTTGTTTAGCCGGTTATACACTTCCTTATTTTTTAAACTAAGTCATTATATATCTTTATAGAATAATAATTTAAAATATGAATAAATACTTCGAATGATGTTTTCCAATTTTGAGTCATTTAATATTCATGTTTTATTGATTGATTTAAGTCAGTTATTTTGTCAGGCATAGTTTTTTGTCTATTCTCGCGTTTTACTAGTACGCCACCATTTTTTGTATAACACTGGTTAGATTCTTCTGAATATATAAAGTCTTGAATCATATCTATAAAATGAGATATAGTTATAAACTATGGACTTCTAAGCAATAGTATAGTAGGGAAGTGTAAGAGGTCATAATAAATTTAATTTAATAGAATAAATGTATTTTCAAGGCAATAATCAACAAAATTCATGTGTATTTAGTCGAATTAACAATCGAAAATGTATTTTTATTAAGAGGTTAATTGTTTTCTTTTTTCAGAAAATTTGTTTGTAATTTTTGTAATATCTTATAATAAATTGGATTGGAATAAGTGTTATCAGAAAATTACAAAAATATTAATAAATGCATTAACTTACAAGCAGTGCTTACCATTATACAAAATAACTACAAACCATTTTTCCTCTCATCGTTTGTAACCTTCGATAGCACTTTAGGATACGTTTTTTTAGGTAAAATTGAGTCTCCATTCGCAGTAAAGTTTTCATTTGTTGTCTTGATATCAGCTACATTATTAATTATATTTATTGGAATATTTTAATTGGACAGATTTGACATTGGTATTAAATTGGTTATTATCTCCATCGTTTCGTTGAAAATTTTGTGTGTGAAACAGAGTAGGTGAAATACAAGAGTTAATTAAAATTTTTAGCTTCGGCGCGTAACTCAGCAGCTATTTACTTTGCCGATTTTTTTTGTCTAGTACGCCAACACTTCCGATCCAATTGGACCGATTTATCTAAATGATATATAAAAAGATAATATTATAGATTTTGAAAATATAATTTTTACTTGATAAATAATAATTATATTATAGTTTATGTCTTAACACATAAGAATCGTAATGATAGGTCAATATATCACAGCAACTATTTTAATTTTCACTTTATATTGATATAATTTTTTGAAAACCGTATGTATCAGTGTAAAATTTTTATTGATAATACTTCATGCTTTTGCCTTGATCAAAGCATATTTTTTTTTGAAAATCTAATTATTATTCAAGGTATTGTGACGATTGACAATATCAAAAAATGTTTGATAATGTTATAAGAAATCGAGCTCTTTTAACCGATATCAAATAAAAGCTAATGCAATGTACTTATAGACGAAAAAACCTATCCGAAATTGTGATTTCTATGAGTAATTTGTTATTTAAGACAAAATCCATACAATTTTCGGAATACATAGCTAACATTGTCGTGTTGGATTATGACCTTTGAAAGTCAAATCAAATATATGTTTTTTTTATATATTAAAGATTTTCTTTAATAAAGACGTTCTGACGAGAACTTTGCAAGTTTAACTATCTTGCAAAATATTAAAACAAATTTAAATTAAATGAATACCAATATAATTAATTAAATCAAAATATACTGTTCAAAATAGAATTATAAGAAATAGAGTTATTTATTTTAAATGAACACTTGTTTTTTTCCATAAATTATTTTAAATAATAAAATTAAAATTTTTGCACATATAAATAATTAATACATTTTATTATAAATTATAATTGTTCATATATTATTCAACGACATAATCAGATAAATACTCTTGTTACAGTAATTTTTGTAATTCAAAAATATTTAGTTAGTATATAATTTATTTTAAAACTATTGAAATTCAGTAATTTTGTTCACAATAGATGAACTATTGTGAAATTTAAGAATTGTTGAAAACTCTTTTAAAATAATAATATGATACTTAATATAGTGAAATTAACACTTTTTTTTATTAAAATAATTAACCAAACATTTTGTGATGTTGATCTAACAAATATCAAACATGCAGACGTTCAAATTCTTCAAAGGGAATTCCCAAAAATTATGAATGTCAGTCTCAAAGAACATCCTTATTATATGAAATCAAACAATGGTGTAATGGTTTGTCCAGTACCTTACAGTCACGTAGTAGATTATGCTGAAGTTCCTTATGAAGGTATAGAAATAATAGATAGAAGATTGGAAGATGTGGTTTATAACTGTGTGGCAGAAAAAAAATATTCTTTGGCTTATATAATCATTTTGAATGCTATTGAAAGTATAGGCGTTACATATATCTATCAGTTCTGTGAGTTTGCAATAGAAATGAATAAATTAGGTGCTGATATATCATTTTACTTAGATCAATTTAGTGAAAATCTTAGTGAACTTGTAATAATATTTAATAAAGAATGGATATCTCTTGAACCATATGAATGTATTTTAAATGTTTACAAAAAACATGAACATAAATATAAGAATTACGAATTTAATAATGTCGACGATGAATACATGAGTGATCTACTTAGCTGCAAAAATTTAATGACAGATAAAGTATACTTTTTAACAGAACCCGCTGAAATATTAATGAATAATATGACTATAGACAACTTAATAATGACACAAACACATAATGATACAATTATTAAGGATGCGTTGCCGAGTCATATTCCTGCTTTCAAAAATATAACTGGATATAAATGTAAGAAGGAAGTTTTTTTTTTATAACGTTTTATTATAACATAACATAATTTTTTATGAAAAAAAAAAAATTTATGATTTATGAAATTTATTCTTAAATAAAAGAATTAATGGCCAATTTGTTAAATATTGATTTAGAAAAAATCATATTATAGTTTAAATATATTCGGTTAATATAATCTTCGGAGTCGTTCACTATAGTTTTTTATGAGTTTCAAAACGATAAAAATATACTTAAAATGCTTTTGGACTGAAAACTAAATTTTAAAATTAGTATAAATTTATATTGATAAAAGTATTTAATAATTTTTTAATTTTTGCTACAGATCAAACCTTATGCACTGGGTGTAGGAAGTTATCGCATAGTGGTAATATTGTAGTTATTTACATTTTTTTACCATGTGGACATGGGTGGAGCTGTAGATATTGTAGTGTAGTTATGAAACAGTGTCCTGTATGTCATCAACCGATTACAGGTACTCAAGATATTCATATAAAAACACCTGCATTAATAGTTGAAAAAGGTATATAAATTATAATTATTTACTGAAACATTAATGAATTTACTATTACTAGCGTCTCTTAATACTGTCTTACGTACTGTTTTATATTATTTAAACAATAAGTGACTGTAGTATTTAAATATTTTAGTATAAATTATTGAAACTATGTATAAGTAGTAAGTGATATTACAAATTAAAGGCAATCAAAGTAAAGTGATAAACTTTCTTAAATGAACTATCTATTAACGACTCATGGAAAAAATAAATATGTTTTTGTTTTTTAGCTTGATGGGACTAAATATTTTTTTTTTGCTTATCATATACTCTTACTAGCATTAAAATTATGTGTTATCAATTATGGTGGGGAGGAGTCACTTTATCTCCATTTTGGCCACGCCACTAATATAATATATCTACCAAAAATTTTAGTTTTCCTAAAATAATCATCTAACTATTGACACTTTTTATAAGAAAAGAGCTAAAAAAAATAGCTATTTAATGTGGCTACTTATATAAATATAAATTTTGTTAACTCACTTTGAGAGGGATCACGTGGTCGATTTCCCCTTTTACATATTTTTCCATTCCAATATATTTCAAATTATTCAATAGAACAATTAATAATCACATCCAAAATTTCTCAAGAGGGCAAAAGATTACTCTCTTTTAAATAAGAAAAACATGTATAACGCAATTTTGAGTTTATCTTATATCAGACTAAGGTATGCCAACTTGACCAATTAAACAAATCTTGCCTAGGACAGAAGACGAATTTTAATTGTTTTCTTGATTTAATCTGATGTAAACATTCAGCTCGATTCATTTTATAAACAAATCTCAACAACCATTTTAATGACATATAAGCTTTTGAGTATAACCCACAGAATTACAAATTGTTTTCGGTTGATATATTGTATATTTGGTTTATATTATAATATAAACCACTAGTTTAAAGATAAAAAATATTTTCTAACTCATGACATATAATAGTCGTCATTTTTATGTAAAATCTTTCGCCGAGTCTGAAAATCAAGTCCAAAATTCAAAAAGTAAATTATTTTTTGAGATATTGCAAAATTAGCTTTTCATTGGTAGCATTAAATGTTTTGTCGTTTCAAATGTAAAGGATAAATTTATTTTGTTAATAGTAGTGTTTTATTTTCAATTAAAATATACATTTTCTATAATACTTAAATAATCTTTATTTTTAATTTTTTTACGTTTATTCTTAATAAAGATATAATCAAAATCGAATAAAGGTCAATATAAGTGTAAAAATAATCCAAATTAATTTTATTTTTGAGTGTAGCCTATGTTGTATGTTTTTGTTATACCGTCAAATTTTACTATACATTGCAAACTGCCTGTATGTAAAAAAATAGCACAGTGGGGTCGTATCACGATTGGAATAAGTATAGACGGAATTGATTAAAATCACTATCATAATAAAAATTTCGATGCAGATCTGTAGATAGTGTCTAATTTTAAGAAAATGGTGGATTATACCAAAATTTAAATTAACTCCTATTTCCTTCATTATTCCTAATTAATAATTCGATGATTTATAAGTATAATAAATGAATAATATCTACTATAACAATTAAATATAGTACGAAATTGATACTAATAATTAAGTATTGTAATTTTATGAAGAAATTATAAAGTGGTTTACTTTTATGGCAAACGCTTATTAAAATTGAATGGCTTGATACAAAACTTATTAGAAGATAACGTATCATTTGCGGCGGGTCGTCGTTAGCCGTGTGGCACTTGCTTGACTTTGCACTATGCCATACGCCACACAGTGTAGGTCAGTCAAGTAGAGTGTCAAGTAGGGCGACGGCTGATAAGATGGCACGATTCGCTGTGTATCGTGTGTCACGAAGCGACACAATTTAAAATGTGAATATTTGTTTTTATAAATAACTAATAATCTCAAAAAAAGATGCGATGGAAAAAATCTAATTGCAGATTTGAAATCAGCTTAATAACGAGGTTTAACAAAATATATTTTGGTTTATGCTGATTAAACAATGTTTCATTTTAAAGATATGATTTTACTTGTAATTTAGTATAAAAAGAATGTTAATCTCTTATTTTTTGTGGAGATATTTATTTGATAAACTGTAATACAGTGGGGTCGTGGCACAATGTAGACGTGGAATAGATGGGACAAGTATAAATGATATCTGACAGTGATTAAAATTACTATCATAAAAAACGTTTTTGGTGAATAATTACAATAGCATCATCAACTCCTATTGCCTTAATTATGTCCTGATTAGTAGAAAGAATAGTAAAAATAATTAAGTTATTTTCAATAGAATTAAGAAAATTGAAATTGTTCTAACATAGATTTAGAAAAATAACTTTTAATAAAATAAATTTCATATGTTTTTAAACAAATAAATAAATAATAAGTTATTTATATACTTATTGCTTTTCGAAAAAGAAAAATACAATTATAATTTTTGCTATTATATTTTTATAGTTCATTTATGATTACCAAAGAATCAATTTTATTGAATTAAAAATGAGACGAATCGGTCTTAATATTTCTTTTATAGGTTTTATTACCCAACCCAACCCAACCCTTCATTGCTTTATCACAAAAATTTTAGTAACAACGTTTTATATCACTTATTTGTCAGTGAAAACGTTCACTATGCTTATCGTTATCATTTCCAAGATTTTCATGTATATAATATAAGTGTTCATAAAGAAAATGTATTTTAAATGACATGTTCAACCCTTTTCCTGATAAAATTAAAAATATCATGTATTTTTTATACAGAAAATGATAAAATCAAAAAAAATTCTTTTTACCTATTTTTAAATAGTTTATCAATAAATCGTCCACTATTTCTCTATAATTTAAGATTTTGAAGTTTCCTAAAAAAAAATGTGAACGTGGAACTGGTTTTGAAAGGGCGTTTACAAGTGCATATTCCATTGTTTTATACTTACATGTTATATATATATTTATTTCATTAATAACATCTTAGACTGTGCAGTTTTTTTTTCCTTAATTACTTAATAAGCCTTTATAAGTTCTAAGTAACTCATGTAAACGTTTTTATTAGAAATACTAATTTTCAATATCTGCAATTAGATTTTACGTCTTTGCCACCAAGATGTTTCTTAGATGGACGAGAAGCACGTTGTATAAGCTGCCGCAATCAAATAAAATATGTGGATCCTCCAAGCAAACACGTAATGATACCATGTGGTGATGGTTGGTATTGCAGTAAATGCATTGATAACAATAGTTGTACATTATGTGACGTCCCTATCAAAGATTCATTGCGTGTAAAGTTACAAGATAATGAATAAATCTATTCTGGTTTTATCTTTAAATAATATTATTTTGATTCGTTTCTAAATATTTTTATTCCTTAAATAAACAAGTTCCTTGTTTGTACAAATTAAATTTTTTATTAATTATATTTAAAAATGAACATTATGAAAACTTGATTAGGTTACTATGGCAATCATTGCTTTTATATGCCTGATACTGGATATTAAATTAAAATTGTGCTATATTGTCTGTTCATAATTTTACAGCTTTACTAATTTAACCTTTTATATGAAGAAGTGTAAGTAAGACGCGGTAATAGTATTTTTTTACTAGCCATTTTTCGGTCGCACTCTCATTTTTGTCGAATGGCTGACAAATTATTTTGCCATAGCAGAGATGAAAAACCTAGATTTTCAATATCAACATGGGAGCTGTGCTTCATACCCTAAAAATTTTTTATTTGAATTATTTATTTATTCTACTCGTAAATCAAGATGTTAGTAAGGACAATTAAATATGTATAAATGTATTATTTCTTTTAGAATAATACCTTGACACATTTTTTTACATATAAATAATAACAAAGACTTAAAATTTAATTTCCTAAACTTGAATTACTACAACATAACTTTTGAATTGAGTTATCATTTATAAAGTTTTTAAAATATATAAAATGAAAATTGTATAAGCACTTAAAAAAAAGTATATCAATGTGGAATTATTCCTGTAATTGAATACTATATGACCGGCAATGGTAATATCATTACAATAAAACGAATAAATCTTATTAAAATTCAAATATTTGTTTTTATAGAACTATAATAATACTTTTTATATGACTGAATTTTAATTATCAGTGTAATTCTGTCATTATTATTTTAATAAGTTTTAGTTACGCATTTTTTATTTAAATTATTAAATATTTTACAATTTTATTTTTTCCCTTTTAACTATTAAAGTAAAAACACGTATATAAATTATATGAATTTTTAGTACAAATGTAAAACCAAATAAATATTTTATTTATTCAGTTAAATTAATAGCTATGATATAAAATAGTTTTTATGAGAAAACAATTATTAAAGCTAAAATAGACCTTTTTTTATATTTGATGGATGGTTAATACCTACATTAGAACTTTTATTTTAAAGTATATATTACCTATAAAATTTTCGCAATGAAATATTTATAAATTTATATCGTTTCTATAGGTATTAATGTACCTCATTATAATAAATTTAAGAATAAAAAAAAATATTATAGTAGAATAATATTGTTGTAACAATCAGTTATGTCAATCTCAATCAAAAAATAATTTTGAATAGAAATTATTCTGTCTGCGTACTTCTGTTCTAATAAGAGTCCTACACTCTTATAATTTAAAAAATGGTTAAAAAAATTGGGCTTAACTGGTTATTGCTTTAAGTACAAAGTTTTAAATGATCATCTATAATTAAGTGATTATATTGTTTGTGCAATTAGAAATATTTCTATCACTAAATCATCACGGGGCGGCGGCTAAAACAAAAAGTATACGAAAGTATTGAATACTTCAAGATGATATTCGATGTATAATCGAACAATATCCAAGTTGTTCGTCAGGCTGTTGGGACTTATTATAGTATATTAAATACCCTTCTTTTAAGGATATTGTCGTAAGCGCCTTTTAGTCAATAAATGTTTTTTGTGACAAAATTAGAAATTACATGATTGTCATTTTAAGATAATACATATGATTAATAATTATTGAGTTGAGTTATATACAATTAATAAGACAAAGCGTACAGTAATATAAGTATTATAACAGATAAATTAATTTTTTATATTTAAGAATATGAAATACAAATTATAAATTTTTCATTGATAAATGCAAGTTGCGTAATGCAAAGCACTGAGCATATTACGCCAATAAACAATTTGGCATCAAACGATGATCTTAGAATAGTCTCAAACCAAATTAATTTTTAGTCATTATAATAAACAAATTAAATATCAGGTTTGAAGAGTAAATAAAATTAATAAAAATGTATTCCATTACAAAAATTAAAACTTTCCATATAAATGAAGAATACGTATTAATTTTTACTATTTATGATATTAATATAAGACAGTTTACGTCAAAACTTAAATTTCGACAATAATAACAGCTTCCATGCCAGACATCCTGTCATAACTTTAAATTGTTAATTACTTTTAAATGCAGATCTTATTTTCTTAATTATATCATTATCTTATATATAAGCNAAGACAGTTTACGTCAAAACTTAAATTTCGACAATAATAACAGCTTCCATGCCAGACATCCTGTCATAACTTTAAATTGTTAAATTAAATCTTTAAANGATCTTATTTTCTTAATTATATCATTATCTTATATATAAGCTCTGGTTAATTGTGCCACTAGGAAAAACATCAAATTCTGCTTTTAAATGCGTAGTGATATATTTCACTTTATAATTTTATTATTATTGAAAAAAATTATCTTTTGGAAACTATCACACCTTATACTCTGATTCTTATTAGTTAAAAATTTACATGATAATAGTTTAATATTTAATTTACCCTTAACTACCGACGTGTTAATAAATTACATAACTACTGATGTGCGGTCTACCAGTTTGTACTTTTGTACTTCATATAATTAATAACTAGGTGTCAACCATTTAAAGGTACATTAAAAAAAAATACAAGTATCAACAATATATAAATAGTAAATTGTGAATAAAAATTTGATGCGGTCTATAAAAACCGCACGTCGGTAGTTAAGGATTTATATTTATAAATTTATTTTACTTATATTTTGTGATAATATTTTAATTGGGTACAACTATTACCAAATAACTTTTACAAAGAAATTTAAATTAAATGCAGGTCTTGAAATTTTAAAAAATTACTGTAATTTCTAAATATTTTAATAATTTTTAATATGTTGACAGTATAGTTAGAACTTTGGACCTGTAATAATTGTTTTGATATTGAACTTTGCATCGAGTTGGAAACATCAGTATAAAACTGTAGATTATATGAATTATAATAATATATATTCTCAATAAGATTTGAATATTTTAAAATTTCAAAAAAACCATACTCCTAGTTTAAGAAATTCTAATTTACATTTTTTTGTTTTAAAACAGTAAATGGTGAGATATAATTATTTATACAGCTTACATTTGTCAATTTTTATTTTGTTTAACTTTATTTTACTCTCGCTCTGTAAACAATAGATGCTTTTAACATTGAGATCTATTTAATACATTAAAAATTCTGAATCTTTAAAAAAGTTTAAAACAATATTTCTTATTTACTTTATTTAATGCTCAGAAAAAATATAAAAATTCTAAATCATAAAATGTTTTATTTAAACAAATGATTGAGAAAATATATTTAGAAATAGAAATAAATAAAGAAACACATATATCATAATTTAAGCGTACTTTAAAAATTCAAAATTTAAAAATTAAGTTATATTTAAATATAGGTTTTGTTCAAAAAGTTCCTATATTTTCCTAAAATAATTACTTATAAATGTAAAATTGTAAAAAATCGCAGTTAAAATTACGTTTGTTTAAAAATGAATCAATTGTATAATAAAAGTCTGTTTTAGATTAGGTATTTTTACTACACTTATTTTCAGAAAAATATAATATCACTCAGTTCAGTGATACTATATATTTCACTATATTTAGTTAGTAACTGATTAATTTACAAACTATTTCACTTTAGTAGGAGAGCTATTGAATTTAAGAATTATTGAAAACTTTCTTCGATTAATAACATGTCACTCATTAAAATAAACTTAATTCTTTTTTTTATTCATAATATCAAATCAAATTATATTGTTGATTTAAATAATATCACGAAGAATGATTTGGTTGCTCTAAAAAATGACTATAAAAATATAATGGAATTATATCTAAAGAATCATCCGTTTTATGCAAATGAAATGTTAGATAAGAATAGAATGATTTGTCCATTACCATGGAGTCATACAGGGAATTATAGAAATATATACTATAAGGACACAAAAATAGAAAATCGAAGATTGTTTGACATAGTTAATACTTGTTTGTCGAATAGAAAATACTCCCTAGGTTATGCAATTATTTTGAATACCATCGAAAGTATTGGAATTACATACATTTATCGGTTCTGCGATTTTGCAAGAGAAATGAACAACAGACAAGCAATACTAACAAAGTATTATAGTGAATTCAATGAAATACTAGTTCGTTTAATAATGAAGTTTAACAGAGATTGTATTTCTTTAGACTCTTATGAATGTCTTATAATTGTTTACAAGAAACATATGAGCAAGTACACAAATTTTGAATTTAACAACCTAGATGAAGACTACAGAAGCGATTTATTAAACTGCATGGAATCCATGAAGTTCAAAATAAATTTTGTTGATGCTGAATCTCAATTAGAACCATTAGAAAATTTATCTAAAAAAAAACTGTTTATCTTGTGGCAGAATTATGTTCAGAATATTATCAATATTGATAATAATAATTTCTTTTTAAAAAGTATTGATGGGATTAAAGGTAAAAAAAATTCGAGACTTTTACTATATTGAATTAGATTTTTATAGACAACATTTATAAATATTAATCCAACTATTAATTAATACTACCTTTTTTAAAACAAATACTATAAATCTAATTNAATGATTTGGTTGCTCTAAAAAATGACTATAAAAATATAATGGAATTATATCTAAAGAATCATCCGTTTTATGCAAATGAAATGTTAGATAAGAATAGAATGATTTGTCCATTACCATGGAGTCATACAGGGAATTATAGAAATATATACTATAAGGACACAAAAATAGAAAATCGAAGATTGTTTGACATAGTTAATACTTGTTTGTCGAATAGAAAATACTCCCTAGGTTATGCAATTATTTTGAATACCATCGAAAGTATTGGAATTACATACATTTATCGGTTCTGCGATTTTGCAAGAGAAATGAACAACAGACAAGCAATACTAACAAAGTATTATAGTGAATTCAATGAAATACTAGTTCGTTTAATAATGAAGTTTAACAGAGATTGTATTTCTTTAGACTCTTATGAATGTCTTATAATTGTTTACAAGAAACATATGAGCAAGTACACAAATTTTGAATTTAACAACCTAGATGAAGACTACAGAAGCGATTTATTAAACTGCATGGAATCCATGAAGTTCAAAATAAATTTTGTTGATGCTGAATCTCAATTAGAACCATTAGAAAATTTATCTAAAAAAAAACTGTTTATCTTGTGGCAGAATTATGTTCAGAATATTATCAATATTGATAATAATAATTTCTTTTTAAAAAGTATTGATGGGATTAAAGGTAAAAAGAATTCGAGACTTTTTATATATTGAATTAGATTTTTATAGACAACATTTATAAATATTAATCCAACTATTAATTAATACTACCTTTTTTAAAACAAATACTATAAATCTAATTGTAAAAGATAATGTAGTGTTATTTTATTAAATTGTATAAAAAAAATTACAAATTTTGGTTAATTACTCATTGTTGTTTTGAAAATTAATGTATTAATGTAATGGAAAACCTTTATTAGTGACTATAATTGGTTGAATATCATTTAAACTATTATTTTTTTTACAAAATTTTATTGTAATTATAGCTAAAAATCCATGTTATGTGTGCAAGAATCCTGGAAACATGGTCATTAATAAGTATAGTTTTTTGCCGTGTGGACATGGATGGTGTTGTTTATATTGCTTGAAAACAATTGATAAATGTCCCTTTTGTCAGCAGAACTACTCAAATTTCCAGGTTATAAATATAATGACACCTTCATTGTCATATTCAAAAAGTAAATAAAATAATTTGAGAAATATTACTTATATTTTACAAATAATGTATTTGAAAACCCAAAATTAATTAACTAAGTATGTTGACACAGGAAGTGGCAACTAAGTTTACTTTTATCGTATTATTTTCATGCTATTATTACATTATATTAAATTATTAATATTATTTCACATTCTATATTTTAAAAAATAGCTGTCTTCATTCTCTACAGTTTTAGACTTTCAAAAAAATGTTAATAATACAGTAATTAAAATAAACTTTACGTTATAATTTATAATATAGAAATTTAACTATTATAAATTTACTATGTTAGTCACACTCTATATAAGTACAATTTTAGATCCAAAAATTACATAGATTTTACAAAATAATAAATTTGTATTTTCTATTAATGAAAAAATAATAATTATACTGCCTTACATAGAATGATTTAATTTTGATGTTTATTATTAGATGATCAGGCAAACATACGAAGTAGTATAATTGATTCAGAGAACTCGCGTTGTTTAGACTGCTTTCGCCTGATAAAAGAAGTTGTACCAAACACTAAATACATAATTGTTCCTTGCGGTCATGGTTGGTACTGTAATGATTGCTCAATGCGATATAGTTGCATAGTATGCGACAAAAAAGTTGAAGATTTGAATATATTATAAATAATCATGCTAGTAAAAAATATTTGAAATGTATGAGAAATTTGCATATGGATATCAAATGTATTGATCAGATACTATTTGGGTAAATTGAAAAAAAATCACTTTTCAATTCAATTTTTTCAAAATAATATTCGATTTTCAACAAGTTACAGCAATTGAAAGTTTAGGGTCATTCATAAAATAAACGANAACAAGTTACAGCAATTGAAAGTTTAGGGTCATTCATAAAATAAACGAACTTTTTTTAAAGACAGCACTTAATTGGGTGTTAAATCGATAATTGCCACCGATTCATACAAGTTGCATTATATTGTATTCATAGGATGTATAGTATATCGTATTTCTATGACTTGGTAGCAGTTATCATTATACGACATATTAATGTTGTCATATTTTAAAAATAAATATACTTTTTTCTGAATGTTCTTAAACTTTAAACAGCTGTGAAAATTTTATATTAGTTAGATTATTTGTTATTATTTTATCTAAATTTACAATTACAGTGTCATTAATTAAATTATTAGACATAATAAAAAAAGATAAATGATATTATTAATTCAAAATAAATGTATGAATTATAAATTACCATATATATATTAATTAATTATTATTTTTAATGTAGTGAATTATCCACAGAGACGGTTCTGTACATTTTTCTAGAGGATGTATTTCATAAACTTGGTGCCTTTTGTGCTTCAAAAAAGTGCCTCTTTCAATTAAAAAAAACAGACAGTTAACAACAGTTTTTTTCTTGATTAGTTTTGTCTGAAAGTTCTAATTATACTAATTATAAATATTGTGCTTTTATGATTAACATTGAGATCCTACGGGTCATAAAATTTAATAAATTTTAAATCATTTTAAAAGTTATCTTATTTAATTAAATAACAACAAATTCTTTTTTTCTCTTGAATCCTACTTCTAAAAATATGCAAAGCTGCATTACATTGCAATTGATTTTTATCGAGTTGGCAATTTTAGTTAGGGGTTGACTCACTCTCCCCTTACCAAGGACCGCCTCTGATAATTCATGATATTAAATTCATCGTTTATTCTTCATTCTTTAACAACATTGAACAATGTTCTTTATTTGTATTTTAATTATTATTTACGTGTCTTTGTTACATTATTCAGATGTTTTAATGAAAATAAAGAAATCAAAATCCCGTAATAATTTCATTATTTGGATAATAATTTTAGATACCTAAACAAAGTCGTCATTTCAGATAACACGACTTACGTCGCAAAAATGTGATCGACACTAGTTTTTTAGGTAGAGACCCTATTAATCAGTAACAACAGGCTATTTTAGCAAAAAAAAAAAATAAAACAAACCGAAAAGATGAACACAATAATAATAATCTTCGCATAATAGAGCGGCACTTTCGCTGGCGTCGACGACTCGATGTCTGGCGTGATCTTAGGGCGACAAAAGGTTAGCACTGTTGATGGTGACGGTGCGGTGGGCGGATTCGTCGACGTTGTCACTTTGATAACGGGAAGCAGACTCAAGGTATCATTTGCGGCACTTGCTGGACTTTGCACCTTAGCGTATGACACGCGGTGTTGGTCAGTCAAATACTCATAAAATAGGGTGACGGCTGATGAAGGTGACACGAATTGCGGGGCATCGTGTATAACAAAGCGACGAGGGCCGTGTCACAGATTATAATAGAGCGGGGCGAATTCATGACTAGTCAATTTTAATGGAAAACCGCTTGCGTCGCTGGTAAGTCATGCCCAAAATATAACCACTAAAATAATTTTACATAAAAAAAAAACTTTTTTTATATAATGACCATATGACTTTTCATTTTTTTATAGTTTTCCTATAAATAAAATATACAAATTTTAATGTTGATGCTAGTTTGAAGAATAGAGTTTTTAATAAAGAACACAATTTATAAAATAAATTACATGTGTTTTGATATATTACAACAAAATTGACTAAAAATGATAAAAAATAACTCTCCATCACCCTCTATATATGGTAGTCTTCAAGTGTTCAAATGTGATCTATTATTATATGATCCACTTCATAAGTATGATAAAAAAATTGAACAACAATCATTTAAATGATATATCAATTTTAGACAATTGTTTTGCTTTCATTAAGCTATAATTTAGAATTTGAACGATAATCTATGATTAATTGTAAAAAAAAGTTTACCTTCAATTTCACGCCGCATTTAATCTCATTCATTAAATTCATTCGTAGAACTGGTCTATTAACCATTATTTTGTTTTCAGTATTGTTATGCGCTTTTGGTACTATTGGTAGAATTTGGGGTAGTAGAAAAGCTATGACTTTTAAATAGTGACTTTTTATATATACATACAAGTACTATTCAATGCGTTCATTTCTTTATGATTTTTGTCATCGATATTTGGTTTTTTTAATACTTCAACCTGTGAATTTACCGGCTATATAAAATTAAAAAATCAAACAAATTATATATGTCAAAATGTAAATGTAGCTGATACAAACTATTGTACATCTATAGCTTTTAAATAAAATAAAATTTACTGTAAAACTAGTAAAAATCATCTAAAGTAAAAAATTATACGAGAATATTGAAGATAATTAGTCAATATATAATTTTTGTTTATTATGATAATTAAGGAAACATTATTAAATTTCAGTAATTAATTTCATAGTAAATAAAACACGAAGGAAAAAACCATTCGAAAAATTAAGGGACCAAAAAGAAAAAACAACTATTAAGACAAGAAAAAAAAACCCAGCACAGGGGGGTCGGGGCACAGTGGTGCCGTGGTATAGTTGGATCAAGTATAATGATATCTGATAGTGATTAAAATCACTATCAAAAATAAACGCTTCGATGCAAATCTTAAGATAGTGTTTAATTTTAAAAAAATTGGTGTTTTATTCCAAAAGCTTCTTGATCTGCTGGTTCCTTATTAATATCTCGATTAAGATAAAGTATGTCGAATGAAAAAGGGTTTATTAAAAAATATTATTTCTCATAAAAAAAATTGTGTGGATCCATACAATTTTCAATATGTTATAGCATTATAAAGTTAAATATAATATAAAAAATAAAATCGAGAATTTTCACACGAAAATAGCATTCGATAGCAATTTTCACCATGAAGACAAGTCCAGAGGTCAAATTTTTTTTTTTTAAATTAAAGTATATTACATTAGCATTAATTTAAGATATATATAAAAGTGTCAGACTAAGATATATATAAAAGTGGAAGATTTTTTTCATCTATAATTGATTTTTCTAATACTTTATCCACTGACTTTACCGGCTATATAAAATTAAAAAAATCAAACACATATAATAATGTTTTAATATTTTTATTTAAGTATAATTAATATAGGTGGTGTGGCGTTGTGGTCACACTAGTTGTTGACAAAACTCTAGTGTTAAGCCACGCCTATCGCCGTAGGTGAACGGATGGGTGACCATGCATGCGCTTCTACGGTGGCGATAAAGCACCACGTTCCCAGTGCAGAAGGCAAAGGAAAACCACTGCACTTAACATTTCCCGAGTTTATATACCAATCCAGTTGGTTATACGACAAGGCTTAATCTTTAGAAGGGAAAATATATATATATATATATAGGTGGACTTATATATATATATATATAGGTGGACTTATATCATCTAACTTGAATAACAATTCAAAATGTTATAGGAAATATTAGAAATATGATTCATTAATACATGATCCGATTCATAAGTACGAAAATTAACATTTAAAAAATTTAACTATAATCACTATATTGGGAAAATTCGACTTTTAGGTAATTATATTATATACATTAAGCTATAATACAGAATTTGCATCATATTCAATTATTAATTGTTAAATATTTTAGTTTGATTTTATCTATGAGATTCATTAGTAGAACTACTGATCTATCAATTTTACCTTTGTTTTTAACAATATTATCCGTTTTTAGAAGCTTTGGTAGAGTTTAGAAAAGTGACGACACTAAAGTAATAAAATCTATAAAATTTTCATTTTTAGAAAATATACAAGATGACTTATTATAATAAATTTAATAAAGTACTTAAATTTATAAATATGTACAAGCATTTTCTTATTGTATTTTTCTATAAGATTAAAAAATATAGTCTTACAATTAATTTAAAAGAGTAAATCCTTTAATTCGGTTAGTTTTTTGTTTATGGTAATTTCCTCTTCCTTATGTTTATCTAGACCAATACTATTTTTCATCAAGTAATCGTTAGATTCCCTTAAACAACTCTGAACAATTTCCTGGATAAATTCGTACATGAACTCTTAAATCTGATCTATTAAATAAAATTTTGTTGTAAATTATGTATAGTTTAAAATAATTAATAAGCCGGGTATACACTTCCTTATTTTTTAAACTAAGTCATTATATATCTTTATAGAATAATAATTTAAAATATGAATAAATACTTCGAATGATGTTTTCCAATTTTGGGTCTTTTAAAATTTCTTGTTTTAGTGATTCCTTTAAGTCGGTTATTTTTTCGAGAATACTTTTTTATCCATTCTCACGTTTTACAGGTACGCTACCATTTTTTATAAAACATCGGTTAGATTCTTCTGAATATATAAAGTCTTGAATCATATTTATAAAATGAGATATAGTTATAAACTATGGACTTCTAAGCAATAGTATAGTAGGGAAGTGTAAGAGGTCATAATAAATTTAATTTAATAGAATAAATGTATTTTCAAGGCAATAATCAACAAAATTCATGTGTATTTAGTCGAATTAACAATCGAAAATGTATTTTTATTAAGAGGTTAATTGTTTTCTTTTTTCAGAAAATTTGTTTGTAATTTTTGTAATATCTTATAATAAATTGGATTGGAATAAGTGTTATCAGAAAATTACAAAAATATTAATAAATGCATTAACTTACAAATGAAACAGAGTAGGTGAAATACAAGAGTTAATTAAAATTTTTAGCTTCGGCGCGTAACTCAGCAGCTATTTACTTTGCCGATTTTTTTGTCTAGTACGCCAATACTTCCGATCCAATTGGACCGATTTAACTAAACGATATATAAAAAGATAATATTATAGATTTTGAAAATATAATTTTTACTTGATAAATAATAATTTATTATATTAATATAATTTCTTAACACATAAGAATCGTAATGAGAGGTCAATATATCACAGCAATTATTTTAGTTTTCACT